CTTTTGCCTAATCTGATTCAGCTAGTAAATTTGAATTTTCGTGTAATAGTAACAGGGGAATACCATCACTACGTTTCATTCGCCGTTTAACATACGAAAACAATCATTTCGGACAAGTACGTCTATCATATACTAACTATCGTTCGTAAGTGGTACGAGATTTGGCTACTGTTTCCTTACAGATATTGCGGAATTTTTGGTACTCACGCTTAAATGGTGCATGACCTGTCAACAAGAATAAGTCCCAGAAATGTTTCCTACGCTTTAACAGCTTCCGGTTTTCCTTATTAATCCATGGAGAGCAATGTGATAGCTTACGTGCTGACCATGGGATGAACGGCGACGTAAGGGACTCGAATGTAGCCTTAAAATTGTTCCATTCATCTTCGATCAATCCATCCACGTCGATCGACCAATCAGTCGAGATAGCGCAGTTTCTGATTGCCGGAATATTGGCTCGGCAGATATTAGGACGGGGTGGGGCAGATACGAATTGTATATATAACTCTGTAAAGACACACATACAATTAAATTAAACCAGCCCACAATCTTCTATCGACATGAGGTCACTCAAATATGAAGCGCTCACTCTAAGGCTAGCAGCTTAAGTCGCTGAAATAAAAAAACGTTACATTCTGTGCTTGTGAATTTAATTTCTAGACGTATAGATACAGATACAATACATCACACTTCTCATGCAACCTTGTGTTGAAATAGAAGAGCTACTTAATTTTATTTAAGAGTACTGAAAATTTGACTTTTTCGTGAAAAAGTTCTAGTGGTGAGAGCCGTAGTTGGTGACGTTTTTACCCGGGACAAGTAGTTAGCATATTTCTGATTGTATTTTCAGAAAAGAAATAGACTACATTCGTAATGTAAATCAAAACTGCCTCTTGTATTTTAAATACAAATCCCGACAAGTAATGCTGACACTTTCTGCAATGAAAAATTTCCCTGTTAAGAACGTGCGGGACATATGGTTAGGTTGCTACGATTGGTATTGCTCCGTCATGTGAAGAGTTGCAGGTTACTATTTAGTGTGTCTGCCATAGTAATTCAAGTTAGGGTCTACGTTTGTCTTTATGAAGACAAATACAAGTTTCAATAACGACTGCAGCTTTTATCATGACCATAATAGTAGCTAAACAGTTGTGGTTTGTTCTTCAAGCCGTCGTAATCCACCTTAGGTATTGCAATAGCAATATTGCTTCTGCTGGGTAATTGGACTCATAAAACTAGTTTTTAGTCACGCGGTCTACTTTCCCAGAATAGTTTTACTGAAGTTTTTTTACTGATTGAGGTAATTACCGCAACTAGCAGTTGGCTGTATTAACCCAACTAACTGCATTGGAGTCCTTCCCACAAATATAAGACAATATGTCAAGCTAAGCTACAAATACATTTCTTGTTTCACGAACCTCTGTATTTACTCGCAGTATCAATGATCTGCTGCTAACGAACATGGAAACATATTACGACTGCAAGTATTTAAATCAAATCGTTCAAAATCATCGAGTTATCATGTTTGCCAATCGGCTTCTTATTGTTACTTATTCTTTTCTATATATGTTTCCTGGGACCTCAAAAATTTTACTGAAGTTTGTAGATTTGGGATATAGGTGTCATGTACGTGGATAAATGAACCCTTTTAATTACATCATGTCTGTACAAGATCCTGAATGGTTTTTAAAGTCTATTCTATCACCTTGATAATACCCTTACAAGATGACCGAAATGCGAGTGTTCATGTTTTTGATACAATCGTCTTTAGATACCTCATATCTGAGGTGATTTCGACGTCCTCTTTAACAAGACAAGAGTGAAAGTGATACAATGTGAATAGTCAGCTTAATAGCCTCACGTTCATCCTATTTGTACCTTGTGCTACCCGTAGTCTCTAATGCGTGTATTCTAGGTTTCTAATTTAAAGATTAGTGACTTTCTTTTCAGCTACCGATTACAGACTTACTAATTATGTGTCTCAATCGCTAACCATAGTAATTTTTTAGTTAGATTGTAGTTTGCAGACCTCTTGATGGTGCTAAGAATATGTTAGTTACCAGTCCGATTACATTTGCGTCACTAACATATCTAGAACTATATATACAAGTTAGTTTACTTGAAGTATCCAGACTCTCATTTTAATCTTGAATGATTCACTTTGCTGTTTTCGAGTGCATCAATTTTTGTGCTTGAATATTTTCCGAAGTAAATTAAGCGTTTGGTTTTCGTAGTGACGGAAGCAAAGTAATTAGTCTCGAGTTTCATCAAAGTATCTAGGATTTCGGCTCACTATTAAGTTCAGGTGTATGTACTGTGCCTCAGTCCACACCGTGGTGGGTAGATTTATTACCAGGCTTCCTTGACGAAAGTAGGTTAAGTCCGGGTTATAATCTAAGATCTGATTGTTAAAAGTCTAGTACGTTTTACACGTTTGTCACTAGTTCCTCTGCTTAGGCAACTAGATTCAGATAACTATCATTTTATCGGTGCGGAAATTGCTAGAAAAAGCTTTCAGGTGTTTCTGGTAGTTTTGCAGGGCTGTTGGTCAAACACGTCGGTCAAACGCCACATATATTTGATGATTCATGTATTTTTATCATTTTAGTATCCCCTGAATAATTGAACTAGGTCAACCACAATCCATAGATCCACTGTGATTGCCTTGACGTTGATGTTTTTCAAAGTTAACATCATTACGAAGTACCGTAGTGGAGGCACACTATCCAATGCTAGTTTCCTTTATTTTCTTATCGTCAAAAGTAATTTGTTTGTGATGTCATGGTTATTTTGTTGTTGTGAAGAATGTTGAGATGTTATAAAAGTCCTAAACTCTCGTAACAAAGTCTCACTTAACACCCAGAGTGGATAATTACTGGCTTTTATTGTCTGGTACATGGATTGAATGTGATCTATATAAATAAATCTCTATTGTCTTATGTAAACTAAGTCTCGTTATTTATCTAAACATTAATGCAATGGGGTTCCATAATATTTATATTCACCACACAAATAGCTGAATTTGTGTGTAGGCTAGGATACTCCTCGGGTGCCCGAATAAAAACGGGTGACTTCATAAGGGAGCATTTTCTCGAGTGCTTGATCCATAGCACTAACCCACAAGGCAATGGAGCGACTTTTAAAAATGCAGTACACTTGTTACCGGTTACTAAAAATGAGTTCATATCTCATTTTTCCCCCAGGGTCCGGTATCTCATGTGCACCATTGATTTGAACTCAGAATTTTCCAACTCCACCGTACTCACCAACCCGATTAGAGCGCCTGACATTGACTTTTCGTAAACAGCGCTCCAGATGTGAGAAAGAAATCAGTAAGACTTTCCTGACTGTAGCAATAAAAACAGTTATATGAGAGCTTTTCGATGAGAGTGGGCTTGCCACACTCTCAGCCGTACCAGAAAATTTAGGGTCCGAATTGTATGTTTGGTAAATTATACTCTCGTTGCCATTTATCATAACGCTTGTGTTAAAATTATTCTTCAAATGGTCATAAGTCAGTCAACTACAACGTAGGATTAGGCACATATATGCATCGGTTCAAGTTCCCATACTTCATTACCACATCAAGATGAATGCCGGATTCATAGAAGTAGTTAATTGAATGGCGACAATTTATAAAAGAAAAATTGAGTATAAGTATATGATACAGGAAGAAAAAATTAGTTCGTAGGAAGAAAGAAATAAAGTAATTCCAATCTCACGGTTTAAGTGCAGACAAAAAGTGTATACACCGACACCACTATGATCGATTCTGAGCCATGTCACCCAGAGTCTTCAATCATTAGTTACGATAGTCGCGTGGACCCAAACCAAGTAGTTCGTATCTACCACCATGGCTCAGATAAGAAGTTGGTGACTTCAAAGACTGATGCCACGTTTTGGTTTGACAGCCTCTAATATTCTTCCAGCCGTCCACAATAATCAGCATTGTGCGTCGTGGTAATCGGTATTCAGGCATACGTAACACGTGGCCCAACCATCTCAGTCGATGAAGATTCACAACCTCATCAACTGATTTACCATCGTTCCCTAATACCCTGCGTCTAACCGCACTATTACCTACCCGATGACCCCAGTAGGTTCGAGCAATATCTCTAAGACATCTGTGGTCAAATATTAGTAGCTTACGAGTATCTTCTACTCTTAATGGCCACGTTTCACAGCGGTAGACTACGACAGAAGGAACTGCCGCGTAGTATACTCTTCCCTTAATTGATAGACGAATATCTCGCCTTCGCCATAGATGACGTCAGTTGGCAAAAGATAAACAAGTTGATATGTGGACCTCCTGAAGAGACATCGATTCCTGAAAATTCATAGGACGAGAGCGTTGTTTTCAGCATTAAGTCTATGATGAAATTGAACAGAAATGGGGATAGTGGACAACCTTACCGAACACCACATGATGTTGCGAAATCAGATGACCGTTCGCCATAAGCTCTCACTAGACTAGTAGTGTTCGAGTAGAGTGCCTTCACAAGGTTTATGTACTTCTGTGTTAGACTGTTGAATGACAGACACTGCCACAGAGTCAAATGCTGCTTTTAAATCAAGAAGAACTATCATTGTCTGGCGCCGATAAGAATGTCTATATTCTAGAAACTGGTAAATTTTGAATATGTGACTGATCGACACCACTTGAGGTTGTAAAATGGTCGTAAACATTAATAGAAGAGCTCACAGTTGCTTTGCACATGATTCAATGTTTGTTACGCTTCATGTATGATTGTGTATCATTACATTGATATGCAAGGTTCTTATGTTTTAACAGTTGGGAGTCTTCAGTTGCTTGATTCCAAGTCTATCGTTATGAACCAGGACTATTCATCGAACATTTATTTTGTTGTAAGCACTCAATTAATACACTTTTCTGATTAATTTTAACAAATTTATTTGCAGCCATATATATATATATATATATATATAATATATATATATATATATATATATATGTATATTTACATTCTGCAACTTTCCAGTTTTTATGCTAGATCTTTATATGTACAGTTTGAATTACCAAGTTATCTGTTACCCAAGAAAAATCCATTACCTTCTTCTTACTGTTTGGTGATCAACAGTATGGGAAATATATGTAATTTTCTCTGTCCTCCAAATGTTAACAGATGTTATTCAACCTCCGCATTAGATGCTTCAATTCATGATTCAGACGTAAAACTTTTATGTGAAAATGAAGCCGTACCTATATCAGTGGAAAACATTAATGACAGTGATGAATATGTAACAAGTGTTGTACATAAAGAATCAGTTTCAAAGCACAAAGAGAAATCAAATAACAGTACTCCTGGTCAGCTCAAGTCTATATCTTCTTCGCTGCAAGGTCCGAAAGTAATAAAAGAGTATGTAAAATTTCCTTTTCTTACGGATGACGAGATGGGAAATTGGATTATTAAGTCTCGGTTCATGTTTATATTACGCGGACCACCTGGTTCGGGGAAATCTTTTGTGTCGGAGTGCATCCGAATTCGTTTTCCCATGGCTAAGGTGGGTATGCTTTCATCGAAAGTGTATGTTTTACTGATTGTTTTAAATGGATACAAGTTTTTGCTAGATTCTGCTTCTTTGTTAGGTGGATTTCTGTTCAGGTAATGTCACCAAACAATTGAAACTGCATTCAAGTGTGTTAAAATCTCTTTATATGGAATTGTTACTCCTATTGGTTGGTAGTCGGGCAGTAATTCATTCTACTAGTCCCCAATTCAGAACACACTTGAACAGAAACGAACTTATGCTCTAAATTATAAAATTGGACGGTAGTAGAATTCACTGTAAAACAGGTTATTGCACTTGTAATTTTGCACGAGAGGATTTTAGAATCCTCTCCAATTATCCTCTAGTACTGATTAGCTAAGAAATAGCTAGTCAGCGTGCTCCAACACAATTCTGCATCGAACATGCTGTAATCCAATCTATATTTTGTCAACAAAGAACTTATCCCATTGTTTTTCAAACCACTCAGGATTCATTCGATTTCTTTTATTCCTACTTGCCAAAAAGTCATCTGCATCAATGTAATCGTAGTGGAAAATGGCCAAGATTCATGGTGTCTACAGCTGATATACGAATGGGATGTGGAGGAATTTTGTATCAGAGTACACCTTTTTGTAGGTTTAGTCGAGGCAGTCTGCTTTGTGATAATTTTGTCACCAGAACTGCTTAGTTTTGGATATCTCCTTGGTCCTCAGGATAATAAAAATAAAAGTGTTCAGATGAAGAAATTTCGAAAGAGCTATGGTATATTTATTGCAACTAATTAGCATTCAGGTCTGATAGTTATGACCAATGAATTCGGAATTATTTACATGAAATTTCCCTTGTGTTTCTGTAAAACATGACAACGTACATTATTATTACTGTGTCTAATTACATGTATGTAAATTGATGCCCATCTTTATGCTTACATCCTTTTTTACAGATCTTTTCTGCAGATGATTTCTTTTATTTAGAATCGAACGGCTATGAGTACCAATTTGACACCAGTCGATTGAGTGAAGCTCACGAGTGGTGTCATAATAATGCTTATAATGCTGCTTGTTCTGGGTACAGCCCAATAGTTATTGACAACACAAACACAAGAAGTTGGGAAACACGTTATTACACAGATATGGCTCGTCGTTTTCACTACTTTGTAATCATGGTCATCCCACAAACACCATGGCGATTTGATGCGGAAACTTTAACTATGCGTAATGTACATTTTGTCAGTTTAGAGACCATTGAAGCTAAAGTCCGGAATTTCGAACATATCTATCCATTGTATTATGGTTGGTTTTGGTCGGCACCACCGAGTGAAACATATTCAAAACTTGGCATCTCAGATACTTCACGAGACACAGTTAGTAGACCAGGTAAACGGCGTAAAAGCTCTATTCACTCAAACCCATGCATGGAATTGGATCGGTTGCTTAAATGGGGATGGGATGCTCTTAATACTATTATAGAATTACCCGGAGTACATCATGAATTAATAAATGCTTTCGGTCTGCCCCAAGGTTGGTTCTGTTTTTAGTGTCACTGTTAAAGTGTTTCATCATGATTTTAGTTAAAGGTACTCCTTTTTCTTAGACTTCATAATTCTTGTATGTGTTATATCTCCTACACATTTAACAAAGAATGCTTCACATGCCTTGCTTTATTTTACAAGCTTCATTCTTTTATTATTTATCTACCAGAAGATTCACATGTTGACTTAGACTACTCAGACAGTATAGTTCTGTTTGGTGAAGATGCTGGAAAAATGCAGTTCTCCGGTCGTGTTAAGCAACAATAAAAATATGTTTAGGATGAGGTTCCAGACCTCCAAATGCGAATTATTTTTTCAGGATTATTCTACTTTGTCGCCTGATATAATGACAGAGTGATGTAGTTAAGTGCGTCGATTGCTTTCACTTATCTTAGCAGTTCCAATGGTTCTGATTTGCTTTTTTTCTGGAGAAATTTCGGCACGGATTCAGACGTTCGCCAACTTGTGTCACTTGTAGCGTAGGCGAGAAATCCGTCTACTAACCAAACAACGGGTTTTCTGAACATTACTTTGCTCTTTTTATTTATGGGTGCAAAACAGTTATTAAGAATAGAGGATATTCATTGCTTGCTAGTATTCGATCACAGATGTATTCATAGCATTTCTCATCATTTTTGTGACCACCAGGTTAGAAGTTCTGTGGTTGAACTCAGAGTACTAGGTAAGTATGACGTGTCAATTGACTGGAATAGTTAGGACATGTATTACATATGCCCATATAATGACTACCTCGAAATGCGAAAATGGGTAATGTGAGAGTAGGTTGGAAGAAAGCTAGAGGAGGTTAAACTAGATATGGCACCGGTTCATGAAGTCATCGGGTTTGCGTGACAATCTTAACCAATCGTTAGAGGCTTCGGGTATTATGGCTCAAAATCGTCCGCTATAGAACAGGTGCGTTTACTCTGTCTTCCGTTGGAACCTGGGTTGTGAAATATTCTAATTCTTTTTTTTCCTTACCTAGTCTTTTTCACTGCTACCACTAATGTTTTTACTACTTCAACTACTCTAGAGTTTGTTTTGGAGAAATTTTATCATCTTTTGCTAATAGTGTGTGATTACTTCGACCGAAGCACGTTTGTCTGCGTTCTACGTTGCACACGGTTGTCTTAGTGTTTTCATTTTACTAATTAACTGTATTCATTATTGGTCTCGATATTTATTAGGAGTTAATTGTTCACTTATTCATTTTCTAAACTATTTGGCATAATTACATCATTCCCTCCTATTTGTTTTGGGGTCGTTGTCGCTACCTTGACGTGGTGGTCGGGTTTGCCCATCGTTATGAACCAATCGAGCCACACTGGCTGGAACAATCGTTCCTCAAGGTCCTACTATGCCAGACAGGTCAGTTGAAGAACAGTAAAACTAAAAGCAGCGCAAACCCAAGATCTGAGGGTGAAGTCAAACTGCTGACTGTACAGAGATGTAACGGTAGTAAGGTGCTTCCTTCAGACAACCAGCGTGACAGCGATGCTGCCCTCCCACAAGGAGGGGTGGAGTTAGAATAGTTCGACCCCAGAAATGCACATCTCGCCTTATCCTGCGGATATCCGTCTCTGGCGGTAATGTCTCAACAAGTACGGAGCTACCAAGAAAATTACTCACAAAAAGGCCGTGTGTAACCGACCTCAAGTAGTTGTCCCTTGGGAACAGCGGTCACGCACTCAGGTCACTGATACCACCTCTAGTCCAATTCTTTTTCCAGGTACCTTCAGAAGAACCCTTCCGTGTTGTGGGCAACCGGGAAGTGATAACCGCCCTCACTTCTAACACCACTCAAGACCACTGTATTCATAATCAACCTCCCTCTTCACTTCCTACTATTCCTCCTATATGGACTTTCAACTCTAAACTTCCTCTTCTAGCTTCCTCCTCAATTATCGTCATGGCTAACCATTCTAGTGTGCAAAACACTGTCTCAGGTCTACTGAAATTTCGCTCCAAACTACACATTGGAGCCTTTAACGGGCTCACCCAATGTCAAATCGGCCAGCAGAAGTCCTTGGCTGGGACTCTAAAATCTCGTAGCATTGATGTCCACTTTCTCCATTTTTGTTTAACTTCATCATAGACCTACCGATGGAAATAACGTCCTCGTCGACTGAATTCTTGGGTATTGAGCTCCTTCCAGGAGGTCCACTTATCGACTTAGAATACGCAGATGAAATATTCCTGTTTGGTGAAGACGCTGATAAATTGCAGTGTTTTGGTAGCACTGAGCAACAATGTCAGCATGTTTGGAATGCGTTTCTCCCCGTCTAAGTGCAAGTTATTGCTTCAGGAGTGGTCTGCGTCAACACCTGAACTAAGGATAGGGAATGAAGTAGTCGAACGCGTTGACGACTTCACTTATCTTGGAAGTCTGATCAGCCCTAATAAGTTGGTGTCTGATGAAATCTCAACACGAATTCAGAAAGTGCGTTTATCTTTTGCCAACTGACGTCATCTATGGCGAAGGCGAGATATTCGTCTATCAATTAAGGGAAGAGTATACTACGCGGCAGTTCCTTCTGTCGTAGTCTACCGCTGTGAAACGTGGCCATTAAGAGTAGAAGATACTCGTAAGCTACTAATATTTGACCACAGATGTCTTAGAGATATTGCTCGAACCTACTGGGGTCATCGGGTAGGTAATAGTGCGGTTAGACGCAGCGTATTAGGGAACGATGCTAAATCAGTCGATGAGGTTGTGAATCTTCATCGACTGAGATGGTTGGGCCACGTGTTACGTATGCCTGAATACCGATTACCACGACGCACAATGCTGATTATTGTGGACGGCTGGAAGAATATTAGAGGCTGTCAAACCAAAACGTGGCATCAGTCTTTGAAGTCACCAACTTCTTATCTGAGCCATGGTGGTAGATACGAACTACTTGGTTTGGGTCCACGCGACTATCGTAACTAATGATTGAAGACTCTGGGTGACATGGCTCAGAATCGATCATAGTGGTGTCGGTGTATACACTTTTTGTCTGCACTTAAACCGTGAGATTGGAATTACTTTATTTCTTTCTTCCTACGAACTAATTTTTTCTTCCTGTATCATATACTTATACTCAATTTTTCTTTTATAAATTGTCGCCATTCAATTAACTACTTCTATGAATCCGGCATTCATCTTGATGTGGTAATGAAGTATGGGAACTTGAACCGATGCATATATGTGCCTAATCCTGCGTTGTAACTGACTGACTTGGGGTCGTTTCTTATAGAGAAAAAATACTAAGGGTTAAATAAGTATCTCATACAATTAGGCATTAGTTGGCAGCATTTTATTGTAAAAATATCTTCGCCGGGGAATTTCACTCGTAAGGAATTTGTTTTGACGATGAATCGTCGTAATGTCTTGCACGTTTAACTATACTCCAATATTGTCTATTGTGTTTTGGTACTATGTAATTTTTTATAGTTTTCATGTGATGATTTCGAACTTATGTTAACAGTAATCAGAGTATTTCAGAGGTTGAATAATTGCACATTTATTATTTTCTTTATTAGATGCAACTGTACAAGATGTAATAACTCATTGGGAATCCGCTACAATACCTGACTTCGGGACTGGTTTGAAAACTTGCAACACACCTAGTATTCCTCATGTAACAGCTAAATTTGCCGGATATGGTCGAGCCTTCGGTGCAGAACATTATGCTCTACGTAGATCTGTGAATGAAACTTTACTGGGAAAATTATTCACAGTACAAATTATCGGCTTAGTGATCACTCCACGTACAGTAGGTGCTAGGGTTAAACTTCCAAATGATGAGGTCATTCGACATCTCTGGGCTGCCGACGATCAAGAAGTTGTATTCCCAGGTTTGTACATTAATCTCTCTTCTTTTTATCTTATTACATGAAATGTTTGAATAGTCAGTACATTGAAAACTTATAAATTTCTAACCACAGTAACGGCGTTGTGAATCTTCTACAATAATTTGAATGCTGTCTTTTCATAGTGCTAAATTTAACAGGCGATGATAGAGCCACCCAGCTGAAGGAAGTTTTCCCAGTCATATTTTTTACGAGGTTCTGAGTGTCCTTTTTTTGTTTCCGCAGCTTAAGTTCTCATGTGTTGAGCACTTAGTGTTTTCCTTTTTTTTGTAGACTTTCACTATAAAAATGATGTTTATTTTTCTTGCAAACTTAAAACAGTAGAGCAACATTCACAACACCCGCTGGAATTATTTGGCACCATGCTGATGACTTAAACTGAATTTTTCCAAAGAGCCATATAATATTGATGTTAATAGATTATTGGATTTTGAATACTTCGGAAATCTTCAGATATCTGGAACTTCAGATGCAATAGTCTTTACAGCATAGAAATCCTTTTTGATTATAACATTTACATGCATAGGTATAACTACCAACTTGACACTACAGATAAAATAGCTATTGGATAGATTGTTGACAATTAAACTAATGATATATTTGTAATATCCCAATGAGTAGAAAATAAAATTCCTGAAGTTTCGTGACTTTGTTTAATCTATTTCTTCAGTCATGAATTTTACTTCTTACTCATTGGAATATTACAAATATATCATTATTTTCATTACTTCTATTTATGATTTTCATAAGCCTGGAGATTATTTTCTGGTTTAACTATCTGATGAGACGTCGGCTTTAAATTAACGTCTATGCTTGAATCTTTATAAGATCTAAGGATAATAACATTTTATCCGCTTCTTAGGTTTTCCAAAGCCTTTAACTCTTTGAAATCTTGGATTTCTCTTTTTCTTAGCTGAGAACTGTAAAATTAGTGGTCAGTTGGGACTTATTTCTCCCTCACTGAATACTATGTACCTCTCATGGTTGTATGGTTAAATGAATAACAACTGGAAAGGATTGCACAGGACAGGATAGGATGTAGAGTGCTTGTGAGCGGCTTATGCTCCTCCATGAGGAGTAACAGGCGTAAGTATGCTCATGGTTGTAACAAAAAGAATCATTTTGTTACAGAAACTCTCAAATTATGGATCAGAACTTTTGGCATAAGGCGATAGGGAAGTTTAAAGTAAAAATTATTCCTTAAGAATAGAATTCTATCGGTGATAAATTTATCACGTACTTGTCTTCATAATGAGAACAAGTTCATGGCGGATGTTCCGCTTGATGTTAGAGAACTGTTAAATAAGGTAATCTCTAGTTTTGTGAAAGAATCTAGGTGACAATGGGGTTGATGAGGCAATAAGCTTTCACTACCTGAGTTGAATGAGACATATATTGCATATGCATAGCCACCGACTATCTCAATGCGTCATGTTAGCCGATGTAGAAGCAGGTTGGAAGGAAGCTAGTAGAAGCCAGACCGAAACTTGGGTTCAGTCTTTGAAGTAATTGGCAGTTCAACTAATATTAATAAGTGCAAACTACCTGGTTGTGACCCATTCGACTTCCATAACTGATTGTTTAAGATATTGTATGACATCGCTCAAAATCAATCACAGTGGTATAGTTGCCTTTACCGTATCTTTTCCGCTAAGTCGTTAGTTCCGAAATTATCTTTTTTATCCCACGAATTCATTCTCACCTCTCAAATTTTATTGTATATTCATATTTTTCCTTACTATCCTCCGATGCTGTCACTACTTCAACTCTGATGCTTATATTGATAATTTCACCTCTCTGTGCTGATATATGACAAACTGAACCAATTCACATATATTCTCAGGTTTTAATTTCAATTTACCTGGCTGACTTGTAAAAGTATGCATTATAAATGCCTTTATCAAAAACATTTTCGGTGCTTTGATACCCGTCGTATCCAGAATCCAAGCGTCTTATGGATAACTTGGCGATCCATGAATCTAATTACCCATCAAGTTCTATATCATCGGCAAGTAGATCATGTACACACAACTTGGCGAAGCGATTGATGAAATAGCTAAATTCAATACGCAGAGAATTGATATATGTTTTTAATTTGATTACCATTACAAATATATTCACTCTAGACTTATAACTGGTTATGTTGAGTTCTGTAAAGTCGCACCAATCTGGGCTAGACTAACCAATTATTAATTTATATTTGATAACCGCAGGTGTACTTAGCACAACCCTAATACTATCTTAGTCAGTTGTAGATTTTTAATTGTATCCCATAAGTTCTGTACTCCGACGTATGAGTAATTTTGATTATTTTAATCTGTATATTTTTCTACTGTTATGTTACTGTTAAAATTTCTTCATTTTCATACTTCTCTTCCGATAGATAATATTGGTATAATGCCTGTGAATCGTCCAACTGGTTGTCGTGCTCATGTTACAATGGCTTTAGCAACTGGTGTATCCCCAGCAGAAACAGGTCTTGATTTACTACGTGTTGTAGACATGGAGTTGAACAATCGACCAGGCGATCATGTAGCAATTATTAAAAATGGTTCTGTTCGTCGACTTATCATTCCAAAATTACATTGTAATACTTCACCTGAACGCTGTTTAGTAAAGGTACCAAATAAATTAAACTATCATCCACGTAATAATAATAACTTTTACGTTAATGGTATCTCATCAGTTCCGCTCTCAGATTGTGAGACTATTTATGTGTACGATCTTGATTTTCCTCATCACTACCGTGTTACTTTTGCTGCTTCTTATTGAGTTATCCTTTCATAAGTTCCCATTAAGTCATCATTAATTGCCAATATCTTCTTGCCTATCTGCCTTACTTTGAATGGGTTCAATTACCTGTATACATATATATACGCATAATACCATAAATTATTTCAGTCTCCATTACTTCACTTTTTAGATTTGTTCATTTCATCGGATTTACATGTTTTCTCTTTGTTAATTTGTACATGGATAAATCAAAATTTATAGCAAACATTTTGTCTAGTCTTGTATCTGTACCGGATTATACTAATTGCTGTAATTTATTCATGCTACTGTAACTATGACCGTTTCTAATCTGCTAGTATTATTTAGTAGTTGGTTATGTACTTATCGTCTTATAACCAGCCGAAATCGTTATCCGAATGATTAATTTCTTGTAACTGTTTATTTTTTCACACTGCATTACTTGTGAAATTCTATACAATCACCAATGAAAACTGGTATATATATACAATATTTGGGTTCATTGTTTAATGGTGAATTTACTATCGCGAGTTTATTTTCTTTTCTACCATGACATATGCTATCTAAGCCTATAAGATACAATACCCGATGTAAAAATTATATATTCCCTCTATTTGTGTTAAGTTTCTTGTAGTAATTCATTTTTGCATTGACTACTAAGTAACAGCGTCCTAATTCACCGAAGAAATTGCTTGAAAGGATATGGAAAATTATCTTAGTTAACAATATGATCCAAATTGTCATGAATAGAACTTGAATTCTTCTATATATTGCTTCATTATGGTTACTTGTTCATATTTAAATGCTATCTGTATAAACGACCAGCATAACTTTCCGAAATTGTCGGGTAATATTTAGAACGAAACCATCGTTGTACTGTTTTGAGGCTGCAATACTAGTTTTCTTGCGAATTCGAAAAAAGAATGTTTCTAGTGAACTAAACGAATTTCCGTATTGTTCATAGTGACTGACACATGGAAATAGCCACTAGTGACTGGGTTCGAGAATTCTAATAGGAATTTGTGACAAATGGAATAAAACAGATCGAGATTTAAGCAGTAATTCAATGATTACGGTGACTAATGATCGCCCTTATCTCAGGTAGACTTAATCCCTAAACTTAACGGTCTAAGTGCTCTTGTGAGACCCTAAGGTCTTTGGCGTCAATCTCGTGCGCTCAAATGTGCTAGCGGGATGTAGTTTGGATTAAAGAACGTTTCGTGCAGGATTATGTTAGGGCACACTGATTGGCTATTCACCCAATCAGCGCTAGAAGATGCTTTGAAAATACTAGAATCTTCTCATGTAAAAACTATAAGCATACTAGCGTTTTTACCGTGATTCCTACTCCCATCCAATCATGTTCTGATTTGGGGACTTGTCGAGTGAAGTGATGTCCAACAATACTAAGCCATACAAGTAGCTGGGTTGTAGTAAGAAAAATTATAAGTCGTGCAAACACTATTTCTCATTCTCCGTAGTGTTCGATGATTCTTCAGCTAATGCCAATTCACGATGAAAACCATCTTCAAGTTGTAAAAATCCACAAAACTAATAAATTTAGGTAAACCAAGTTACTGGCGCCAAACTAACAAATCTAGGATTTACCTGTAAAGAATTTCTTTTGTTTATCGAAAAACTGTGTATTATGCACATCAGATTAATCATATCAGAATATATTTTAATGCTTATTATTAATTAAGTAGTAGGTACTACACGCTTTTGGGGTCAGTAAATATCAATTTCCACACTTGGTATCATTACATAGCTTTTTAAAATAAAGGTATCGTGTGAACCTTGAAAACTTTCCGTTTTAATTGTGAAGTGAAGTTAATATTGGGTAAGAAATAGACTATCAGTTATTAGTTAAAGTGCAAAGCAAAGATCGAAACATTATTGGGTCAGTGAAACAATTAGTGACAATAAAAACGCGATCTTCTTAAATATTGGTAAGGTGATGATTTTGGCACAAGAATTAATCGTGTTAATTATTTTGAGATAGTAGGAGTGTCTACATTATTTCCTGTGAGAATTAAATAGTTAACTACTATCTCGGACAACATAGTCCTTTGACAAACATCCATCGCACTGTTAACATGCACACCCTTCTATTCTCATAAAATACTGCCTTCAACAAATAAATATGGATTGTTAGGTGCAGCCTTTTATCGACTTCATATGGAAAGGTTTACGCCAATAGGGGCGCATACTAATAAAGTTGATCAGTAAAAAAGCGAATAACATTTGAGTGTGAAATATGTCCGCCTTGTCCTTTATTCCTTTGACTTATGACTAATCAGAAACGTACTCCAGTTTCTACGATTATTTTCGTATGGAAACAATCTTAGAAAATGGAGTGCCATTAAGAAAGCGTCAACCCTTTGATGGTTATTTGTACGGAATCATCTCCCATGAGTCTTACCAGTAGAAACATTCTTCACTTATATCGGGGACATTTTTCCAGGACTATATAATTTAAAACTAATTTAAGTCAAACTGATCCTCTTCGTAATATTCATTTCAGACTGCCAATAAATATAAAACCATGCTAAATGTTAATCCACTGGGATACGACATTATCGTACAACCTTCACATTCGTCTAGAGACCTTTAAGTTGGGTAACTAAACGTCACTATGGGTCTCGAATTCCTCAAAATAAATAGCAATTCCTAATTATTTCATAAAATGATGTATAATCGGAATATGGCTTTATCTTATAACAGTGTACACAAGCGAAAAAATATTCGTCAATAAAGATAACTATATTGTAAGCAAGTAACATATATACATCCCGGTAAATAAAATAATGTACAAAAGAAACTAATTAATTTACCTGGAAAATGATATGAAATAAAATAAAGTGAATCGCATTTACTGAGTTTTCTTACCTAAATAGGTAAATGAAACAAACTTTTTTAAAAGAAGAAATACGAAGCAATTTCGATGAAACAAATTTAATCAATCTCTGACAAAAAAAGTACTTTCGACGGCACCATACAATGAATTTCATTATCACAAACACGAACATCACTAGATTTAACTCTTTTATTACCAGACTTTAAGATATTCTGTTCATTAAATGAAGATAACTGGTTGCAGTGGCTCGGTGAAGATGATGTGCAAACAACCGGTGAAGGTGACGACGACGATGTTGACTCTAATCCATCTGAACTGTTGACTGTATTTATCCCACAAACAGCCTCTAACTGTTTTATTCTGAAAATTAGCATCAACAAATAATAAGAGTGAAGACAAAAATAAAAATTCTCGTTTGAAATAAACGAAACTGCTTCAGTGTCTATAATGTATTTCAGTTACCTTTAAGTGACATAAAGACGGTACGGAAAAAAAATATGGTGCCTTACATGAATGATACATGTGTAGAGACTAACATAACTAGTTTTGAATTTGTAAAATCCATCAATAGAAAGTCAATTATTTGAGTTACATAACTGCTAGGACTTGAGAGTACCTCCAGTCTCTGGCAAGATTCAACCCTATTGCAAATCATTCAGCATCACACATAATTGCTGAAAACATTACTTTGAGAAAATCAATCACTATTTAGACATTTGGAATATTTGTTATGTATGGATTGCCTTGACAGACGAATATAAACAAATTCTACTCGTTATAATTCACCTCTCTTAAAAGCTAATCCAGGGAGAGAATGTAAAATTTTCTAGCATATATTTGTTAGATTCAAAAAGCCCCCAAGTGCCCTGGTACGGCTGAGAGTGGGGAGATTCAGCTCTCTTTAAATGTTCTCACATGACCACGTACACACAACTACTGCCACGGATGTGTTACGTGTGCCGAACAACCACCTACCCTAACGATCGATGTTATGTGGTGTAGGAGTAGTTTTATTTATTTATTTAAATACATAAACATTGGTACAAGGAGGCACCAAATACATATGCTCCACATAAACACAGGCGCACCCATTCTTTATCGTTCTGCGAATTCTGAGCTCTCGAGTTTTCCATGACTTTTATTTTGTTGTTGTTTCACTGATTCATGTTTTCTCGAGTCATATCTCTGATGCCTAATCTTCTCAATCACCACCGATACTGTTACTATATCTACTACTATGGAATTCGGTCTGATATTTTCATCTTTCTCTGTTGACGTGATATGGCGACTTAAATCGATGTACATACGTACCAGGTTCTACGTTGTGACCGACTGAATGAATATAGAATACAGTTCATTTGTGACTTTTAATAAACTAAAGAAGCCATTCTAATCCTCACGTACAACTTGCCTTACTTCTGCATGTTGGCGAATAGTCACAAATTTATCCAAATTTTTAGGTTGAGATAAGGAGAATGTTTTTAAAGTTACAATCTAAACAACAGTAACTGACTATAATCCGGGCGATTATGATATACATCTCTGGTGTCATAACCAACGGAATTTTCATTTTGAATTAGAACAGTAGAAAAACACGACTTTGTATGGAAGCGAACTTGAAACCAACCAATAATCATAATAAATGAAATTAGGAGAAAAATAATGAGTGATAACACTGCAATAACATACCTACGACTTTGCATTTTTAATAGTGAACCCAACTGTTTGTTCTGCTCAGTCACTTCTCGTTGTTTACAAAGTAAATGATACACCAAACGACTCAATTTACAGATGCGGGTCATGTTTAAGTTTTGACCCTGTTTAAGTCGCTTTATGTCAGAAGTTAACTTTTGATTGACCGTTAATTCTCTAGAAATAGTTCCTGATTCCTTGTGGGTGATATTTTCCTAGATAACAGCAACAAAAATGTTAGCTACCCTGAATATTGTGATAAAAAACAACAACGCAAAGATCACATGCCACATGCAAAAAGAACAACTATTCCTCACAATATACACAGTAGAGCATTCATGCTTAGATGGTTGTGATGATTGTGATTATATAATAATCATAACGATAATATTAATCGTATTATCGTATTACGTTTTGCCTGAATATTTGATCTTCACATTACATACACTAGAGGACAGAATATGCGCAAAAATTGTTTCTGAAAAAATGACAACTTTAGGATTATTTATTCTAAAATTATTGTGACCGAACACTAAATTTATTGTCAGCAGAGACGGACGGCGAGTGGCAGTGGGGTCCAGGACGCGCGTTTAATCCTATTTGGAACCAGATATATTGGTCAAAATGGATAATCATCTGGAGGAAACAAGCAGGTTACGAACAGTATTAGCATGAAAAATAATAATGTTTTACGGATGACACTTGAGTCTATAAGGGATGTGATAAGAGAACCCGAACCAAGAAATAGGATTAGTCCATTGGGTAACATTTATTGATAAACTACTTAGTAGGTTCCGAGTGACAATCACGATCAGGGTTTGGAGATATTGGATGACACTGATTAGATTCGGTCTTAGCGACGCACACCCACTCACTTCTTATATTTTAGATCCTAAACCTCAACAATGATTGAGACATATTTCCTTATAAAACAACAACTTGATGTTTATTTATCATAAATACTATTATTATTTCGATTCCATTTATATTCACCTAGGTAATCTCACCTTGTTATGATGTAGTATGGAGAAGTCCTACTCACTGCCTTCTCACGGCGGGGTGTTGTTTACGAAATTGAGAGAACAGAAAGCGAATGTCCGGTGCGTTATCTGGGTTGGTGAATATGAAGGAACCGCCTAGAAAAATTGTAAAACTCTGATTCCAAACCAATGGTGCACATGGGCTCCAGTGTCCTGAGGGAACAAAAGGCGTATGA